ATTCTCATCATCTAACAATACATAGCTACGAGCGTTCTCCCTACGGGTTGTAATATCATCATCATCCGCATCAATACTAAAATGCGAACTACCACCAAATTTATCAATCACATCCGCTACATAGTCTCCTCTTGCTTGATCATTTTTGATAATAATTGCAAGATTTTCAAAATGTTTCATAGGCTTGTTGACGTACTCCCTAAGCTTAGAACTAGGAATACTTTTGTCCCGCAAAGTTAAGGATATATTAACTCCAAACTTATTAAAAAATAAAATAAAATATCTCATTCAAATAAAAATTACTAAATTTTTTTACCTCAAGTCATCTATCAAAGTAATCTTCATCCATAGTGATTTATTTATGCACATCATCCCAGCCCCCACCGCTCAAATTATAGCATTTTTGCATATCAAAATATCTATTACGCCAAGTTTTCATATGGTTCTCCATATTATCTCTAGTAAATCCTGAGCTAAATTGTTTGTTCATCTCAATAGCGGTTGGACGATAAGCAGCCTTCTTGAACTTTTTATCAGCTTTCATCCCTTAGTTGGCATATGTTGTAAGGAAGGATATTAGCACATCATCATGTTTGCTCTCTCATAATTAGTTAGCCCTCCCCGTGCTTGTAGTTTTATTTTTATTTTTATGAGCAAGTACTTTTTTTCTCTTTCAGTTGGGGGGTGTACTTTCATCATCCTCAACATCAATAGCATTTCTCTTGTTGCTTTGATATTGTTGATTAGAATATGGGGTTTTACCCATGCTAAAACTTAGATGTTGTAAAGTAGGAGTATTTAGTATGTTCATAAATGAAATTAGTGCTGGTTAGGCCACTCCCTAAAAGTTATCATCTTGCATTTTAAAATTATTCTATAAATTAGGACTTTGACCAACTTGTGAAGAACGATAGGGCATATATCATGGGTTGAACACATAAAGGATTGATAAATTCCTTGGGGTCCTAGGGGATGGAGTTGATGTCATGCTTTTCTCTTTGCTCTTATCAAGTTCCTCACAATTAAAAATGTCAGCCATATCTAAAAAATAATTTGATAGAAGTACACCAAATAAAGTTAAACTAATTCACCACACATAAAACAAAGTTAAGTAACTAAAAATAATGAAATTAAAGTACATACAACATATATAGGTCATCACACAAATATTACACATGAAGTTTAAATAGTTTTACAAACTTGGTCATAAAATCATGTTCGTAGAAAATTACGCAAGCCAATTTTCCTAACAAACTATCACTACAAAGTCAAGTAAATTCACATGCCAATTTTATTGATATTCTCATCCTTATATTTTTCACAATAGTCAACGCACATCTCCCAAGCTATTTTATTTCTACGATTCTTCCATAGGTTTCTTGATTGAGTTTGCTCCCTTTGAGTTTGTGATTGAGAAAAATTAACAATATTATTTTCTTCATCGCCCACAATATCACATTAATCCTCTTCAATATCAATTGTCTCATTGAACATCTCATCATCCGGGTCAACCATAGCAATGTAATTGTGAAGAACCGCACATGCCAATACAATATCAACTTGTGCAGGAAATAGGTAATGAGGCTTAGCAGTGAGTATCTTGAAACGATTCTTCAAACAACAAAATGGAGATTCAATCTTAGACTTTAATGGAGAATGACTAAGATTAAATAATTCCCTTCTATTTTGGGCGTTCTTCCTATTTGTTCCTTCAAATGGTAACGGACACCACAATATGGGGAGATGAAGCCAGGTATGGTCGTGTACCTAGCATCACAAAAATAATATTTTTCTATAATTTTCATGATATAAAATTTTTATTAGTATTTTTTAACATTGCATTGAATATCAAACTTATTGTTGAAGTAAATATGTTGGATTTAAAATTTTAATAAAATTACCATCAAATACCATCATATACTCTAAAACCATTTGCAGAATCTTCTCACCCCGCTAATACGTAGGTGAATAGGTTGTTTGGAGTACACGCCGCTAGAACATTTTGTATGACTCTTTTACGACGAAGGAATCGTTGAACAAGATGGGCGGATAACATAACATCAATATGTGTTTCATCTATCATACTGATACAATCCTAGAAATATTACTAGTGAATATTTGTATCATCTTTAACAAGTAATGGAGATATTCACAAAGTATAGAGTGTATACCTTAAAATAAGGGTAGTATAAAGAATTGTTAATGATCTCTGACAGAACTTCATTTCGTGCATGTCTCAAGAAGAGCGGATGTATGTAGCAAATAGCTTCTAATACCTTGTTAAAATATGTACTTACAGTCTCACCAGATCTAATAAAATGTGACCTAACAATTCGATTTTTAGTTTTATGCCCAATATATTCAAAGTCATAGCAAGTTGCTCCTCCACTATAACATGTCTCGAGTCTCGTAACAAATCACTCCTCCTCATAATTTCTACAAGCTTCATAAAATCACCACTGTGCATTCTAACATAATTGACACAACTATCACTGAATCCATTATATATCTGGTCCATGTGATCTTTTCTAATTTTATATTGTCTTATTTTCTCCTTACTAGAACACTCTCGAATGGACCTACGTCTGCTTTTCATTCTCCTTATAAATATTATAATCATGACTAAAACAAAGAGTGTGGCACCCGAGCAGATGTTAATTACGGTCTCTTCATCAAGGTCACCATCCATCTATAATATTAGCATCATATTAAAGTAGATATTAACATTATTAAAACAAACGAAATCATGCAATCATCAAGATACAATAACCATTACATCGTATAAACAACCATACAGTTTACCAACTAATTTTTAGCTAGCAAATCCTAGCTGGCACTTACTTTTCTCTCACTTTCTTTTTTGTTTTTGACAAATCAAACAGCCAATTGTGAGGGAAACCATGAAAAATTTTCTCAATCAGTTTTCTAGTGAGCTTTTTCTACTGTTTTTGGACCAACCAAACAGCCCCTTCGTGGGGAAAAAAAAATAAAAAAAATATAACTCTACTCTATAACTTTACCAACATGCTTATTATCTTCAATTAAATCTTCCACTTCTATATAAGGAGTTATCCATTTGCCTATTTAGCCTTAACCTCTGCTGCTCTGCACGTCACTCATCCCCCATTTATTACACAATGTGTTCTTACTCATTTTCCTATTCAAAGCTCTTCGAATCAAGCTAAGTATCTATTGACAAATTTAGAGCCATATCAATCGAAGAAGAGAATTATTAGGCTGGGGGGGGGGGGGGGGCGAAACTAAAACCAATTTTCGAGTTACGTCACATGAACACTCCTTATGATAGTGGAAACTTATTCAATAAGGAGAACCTTTTGCCCTCACGTGTTTTAGTTCCAATAGGTACAATAATTCATTTTTTTAATAAATTTATTTTATTCAAAGAAAACCAGGGGGGAAAAAAAGCATCATGGACTCATGTGCTTGGAGCATAATTTATGTTTGACGAAACAATTGTAAGGTATAAATATAGGATATACCCGTGAGTAAAGGTAAATTCGAATTTTGAAACTGCTTTGGGTTTACTTTGTTAAGGGATCGGCCTCTGATCAATTCAGGGTTTAAAAAAGTGCCGCTGCTTTCTAACGGATATATGCTGCCAACTGTCTCTGCTCTATTTATCATGTTCAACCATAAAAAGAATACTACTCTTGTTGACAAGTTATGCAAGTTTCTTTCTATATTCTGAATTCTATAAAAGAGTTTATGTATTTCGTCAAACACGCTTTGAGAACGGTTCAGACTTCAGAGCTATATAAAAGCTAGGAGTGCACATAAGATGGATGGATTAATATGTTGAGTGAGAGTCGAAAATTAGAACGCTATTTTTCTTAATCCGCTTTAGAAATCCGTGACCAATAAGATTCCAGCCTAAATTGCTCTATTACTGTCTTAAAGTCAATATCACTCTACCAAAACTTGAAAGTTACGGTGAGAAGTAAGTCAGGCTGCACAGTTGAGTACGACTTCTGTTAGCAGACAAGTGTCATTTTCATGGACCGAATGAAGTTCTAAATTTGGACGAGCACTGCATTACTCTACACATAGAGTGCTCTGAAGTACAGCGAATATGGATTCTGACTTCATTTAACAAAACGAGCCATCAAGAGATAGCATGAACATTACTAGTACTATATTTCTTAGTAATTTATCTAGCAAAACCATAACGTTGATGTGGTCCAGAAATTGGTTTTAATCTTTTAGCTCTGTAGCCATATGGCTGGCTACATCCCTTCTGTCTTTTTACATCAACCAGCCCTGCTGTGATCCAGCTAAGACTGAATCCGCCTTGCTGTCATCCAGCTAAGATCGAAGAAGCATAGAAGATGACCAGCGTCCAACTGCTTTTGGTTCTTTCCTGGCTCCAGACGTGTACATAGTTACAGGGAACAGGAAAAAGAATTGGGAGCAATGTAGCTACTCTTCACAACTTGAACCGGAGCAGTTCACAGCTGATACCATCAAATCAAAGCGGCGTAAAAAAGGGATGAATAAATTCGACAATTCTAAGTTGAAACTGTGAAAATTACAATCATTATCACGAAGGTGTCCCCATTGAATTTTTGAGATGGAAAATGTTAGAGACGCACCCCCAACCACACTCCTCTCTCGTTACAGTGTACTCCAATCACACTCCTCTCTCGCTGGGTGAAAATTCTCATGTGAACCCCAGTGCACTGTAGCGAGAGAGGACTGGGGCTCACAGAATTTTCACCTAGCGAGAGAAGAGTGCGGTTGTAACGCCGCCCTTTTGATTAGGTGTTAAAAAAAATTGTAGCGCATACGCTAGCAGCCTCCAGCTATAGAGGCCGGTACTAAATATGCTACGTGGGCGGTCCAAGAGCTTGTATAAACATGCACGCAGTCGAAAGTATTTAAAAAGTTTGGAATCACTTTACTACACGGCCTTGATTCTCACCCCAACAAAAGAAGAGCGAAAGATGCGTTTGCGGAAAGAATCAATCTCCTCTCGTTGCCGAAACATCAAAAGGGCATTTCTTAAAAAAAAATCAGAGAATACAATCATGTTGACAGCACACACGTTCTACTCTTAATAATGGCGTTAAGCACTTTCTTCAGCCAGATGAATCTTAGACCTAATCAACCGAAAAATTACATAATGGGAGATGATTTCCTGTATGGATACATGATGAAAGTTATGTACTTCTCTAAGTTTGTAAATTATTTTAACGATCAAAGGATCTTTCTTCAGCATCAACCTTTTTGCTTGGGATTCTCTCCCCCTTTTCAGATTCCCGCGGACTCTACTCTTTATCAAAGCTCTCCATCAAGAGCTCATCTCTATTTATTTTCACTTCAAAAATCTCAGCGTCAAATTTAGGTTTGATTTCAGAGAACAGCATGGAACGGCCTTAATTCTTTCAATACCCTACTATGAACATTACAAGGATGTATATTTCACAAAGCCCACAAGAAGGTGGGACCGTTCTGAGAAACCCCCAAAATGTTTTGAAATGTCTCTTAACAACCAGAACTTTTTCACCAAAAGGTTGGGGGTTAGCTGAAAATTGATTCCGGAAAATGCAAAAGTTTTGGGGATTAGGTGACATTTACAAACTTTTTGGGGATTTATCTCAAAATGAGCCAAACTTCTTCGGGGTTTTTTGTGAAATTTACCGATAGTATATTATATCCCAAAAAGGAAGCAATTTGAGTAGCATGGTAGGTACAAAGCAGAATCTTCCACTGCCAGCGGCTGCCTAAATGGATTAAGTTGTACCTGCATGAGACATTTAAATAAATGTCAATTTACAGGCGAGTTTGATTTTGAGCTGATGAGAGGAATAATGGCCAAGAAGAAGGCCAAATGTACATACCGGTTGCCTTAGAGCTTTGGCGGATACGCTACTTATGCAATGGGCCGCTAGGTTTGCAGCTTCTTCACAGAAATCAGTAAATACTGCTGGGATCTTCTTATCTTTAAGTAGCTCCTATAAACATATACAGAGAGAAAAGAGACTAATTATCAACATGTTATGGACCTTTATTCATTTAGTCCCCGTTTGGCAAAGGATTAATGAAGAGGGGTTAAAAAGAAGGATTAATGTATTTAGCCCATTTGATAATCCGAAGGACTAAATTATTAACCCGTTAAATAAGTTTTATTTTAGCCCTTATGATCAGTTTTAGTGTTTGGGAATAACAATGATTTTGACTATTTTCTTTATAATTAGAAGGGTTAACTCTTATTCCATCTAAATAGGAGTATTAGTAAACCCCTCATTTTGAGGGGTTAACTCATTTTAACCCCTCTAGAGGGGTTAACTTAACCCTTCTATATTTTTTATGTTTGGCAAATTATAGAGGGTTAACTCACTTTAACCCTTATATATATTTGTTGTGTTTGGCAGGTTAAGAAGGGGTTAAGTCTCCTTAACCCCTCACTTAACCCTTTGCCAAACAGTACCTAAAAGAAAGTACAAAAGAAACAACTTTTGATGCAGTAACATTAGAATAATACTCAATACCAATATTTAGAAAATAACTGTAATAAGATGCAGTAATATCAGTCTTCAAGTTTAACCAAATCAGACAACTTAAACTTGGTAAGAGAGATGCTGTGATATAAACTATAAAATTATGAGATGAATTTAATTATCTATAGCAAATGTCTAACCTCCCTACAAGAATTTCCTAGGCTTCTCTTCAGTCTTTAATTTTACTTAAATTCTTCTCAAATTCAATGATGAGTTGCTTCTTCCGCTTCAAAAGATGAATTTCACTCACAATAGAGCATTCAAAAATCCTGTACTTGTGTATTTTTCATCACAATATCCATTGGAGTTATACCAAATATCAAATTATATATAATTCAAATGTAACATTTATAGAAAACAGTCATAGTCATAAGGGTGGCTTCTTATTAGCTAGCTAGATATTCTCTCCTTTTATTTCTCTAGCCATTGGATCTATGGTCCAATGCGCAGGTATTAAACGGAAATACAAGGAAACCAATATTGTGCTGTCATATATGTTGATAGGATAAAATAACGGACGTGCATATAATGATGGGAGATATTAGCAAGTACTGAAAGAAAACATGTGAGGATAATAGGATTAGGACATACAATTGTGGGTAACCAGCTGGAATAAGCAGCAATACCAGCATTAGGAACAACCACCAAATGAGGATAAGAATCCTGCAAAATGTAGACCACAAGAAAATTTAAGATGAAAGCGAATATAAAATGTTCTTTCAAAATAAAATCTCTAAATATAATTAAATCTTAATATGAACTTATACTTCAACAAACTAAATTGTTAATTCACTAGAACCTACTACTTTGTAATCATATCTTTCCTGTTTGAGCAATTTCTCTGATCACTCATGATCCTAGTTGGCAAGAAGCAATGAAGCATAACCGCGTTTATGCTTAACCCACATGATGCTATCTTCTTGTGATAAACCATTATTCACCAATTCATCATAGATGATATGATCATTTTGAGTTATTATACTTCCCCAGCTTCAATATGAAGTAACACCTCCAACATTATTTGGGATGATAGATCTGATGCTATTTGCCAAATGCAAGATATAGGAGCATGGACTGAAAGAACCAACATAGCAGCCTACGGTCTATGAAAATCTGAAAATCATAATCATGGAAGAACAATAAATTTCAGAAAAATCAAACTTGGTAACTGTAAAGAACAAAATGGTAACTGTAGTTGGAGAGAGAATCATTCTGAAATTAGTTATGCTGGTTCGAAAGCAGTAAGAGCAAAGAATGAATATAAATATCACTGGAAAGGGAAGGCAATAACTTTTGATGACAGGGAAATGTGAAGCATACATTCACTTAAGAGGGGTTATGTGCAGTCGGGAAGGGAAGCCTTTCAAGGACAGGATCTTATAAGAACTCCTCTTCATAATATACTGTAATATATATTGTGCCCTAAGATTATCATGAAATTTTAATAAGTGTCCTTCAACTGACTTGCGGTGATAGCATTTAGTCAATAACAATCGATACTCGATGTGACACTATAGTACAGAACTGCAGTGAGATATTAACCAAATGCATGTAGGCACATAGCCTCGTGCCATATTAAATGGTTTCATCCAATAAGTTTGCATAGTCTAATGGCATATGTGATCATTTCCAGACCTGTAACTTGACCTAAATCCAACCCATACATGACCACCATAGTCCCCATTCATGAATAGCCATTAGTTCAGTGAAAAAAGAAATAAAAGCTACAAACCTTTACTATATCTTCATATCTGTCATGATAGAAACCTTTATGTAGTTTTACAGTCAGAAATGAAGAGCTGCAGTTCGGCGCTTCAGAAGCAGAAACTGTAGATGAAACCTTGCAGCAGCAATCCTCCTCGGAACAATGCATATAGTTGCAAAGGCTTATCATCTCCCCATCCCTATCAGCAAATACTGAGGAGCTTTACTTAATCAAAAGAAAATGATGAATCATATCTATATATTTGACTCATACTAGCAGCCAGGTAAAAAATAACAATCCGCATGCAATCACATATGTTCAATGAGAATTAAGGCCCAGAGAAATATCTATAGCTAGAAAACTGTCCAGAAGAAACATAGAAAACAGTCATGATCTTTTGTTTGTTTCTCGTCATCTCATGTTTCTCGTCATCTCAATTGTATAGTTCACTTTCTATATCATGCTTACTGATCAGAAAGGATAGCTCTCTTCAAATCAAAATGCTTCAATAATTTATTTCTATGCACTATCCAAGTTTTGTTAACTCAGTTATCTGCATATTTCAAAAGTTTGGAGAAACTTTACAGGTCCATAAAAAAAACTCAGAAAATATATGATGGTTGAGAATGGACAATTAGCTCCAGATTAAAGTATAGCGTCATGTTTAAATACATCTATACACGAGACTGACTAGGCAGTTGAGTAAGGGTGTGCATTGGGTTTATAACTCATTGGGTTTGGCTACAACTTTGAACCTTCTTGAATCATTTCCATTGAAATCATAAAAAAATTGTAAATGACATGCTACAGAACATGATATTTGTTTCTATAACAAGATGTGTTCAAATGAAGTTAGTTGGTCAGTGTCTCGAGTCAACATAGAAGTTCTTGTATATCTACCTAACCCATTTCTAATCATATACCACAGAACCCAGGTTGTTCTGTAGACCTAATTAGTAGTATTGTAGTTTTTAGGTCCCATTCGATCTAGCTCAAGTTTCATGACACTATCTCATAATCAAAATACAGATCCTGAAACCAATGAAACTGCCTCCAAAATAATCTCTCATGCAGACATATATGAAGCATCATGAGGGGCACATTGTATCCCTTCCTTATATATTCCATAGATGGTCTAAGATCACTGAACCCTTTAATTTAAATTCGTCAGCACTACATATTCCCGCGATTGCATTATGTAGCTGAAAACATGTAAAAAAAATACAACATTTACAGTGGCACTTTGCAAATTGCTGCAAGCAATTTTCAGACAGCACATTCACATTAAGAATTTTCCTCCCTCCTTCAAATGGTGCCTGATAGAATTTATTAAGCTGGGGATTTTTATTGTCTTGATTCCTGACATCCACATGTTGATCTTTGAATGTATAGACAACATAGCAGTATAGCACCAGACTTTTTTTCAGGCACATTGCATGCTGTAGTAAGGTTTGCTTTCAGGTACTTCAGAGTTCAGACGCTGTAGTAAGACTTGCTAGGTGCAATTTCAATTTAAATGGCAAACCATAAATTTTGCAGCAGTAGGAATTGATTCTGGATCCTACCATGGGAATATAGATTTCGGAATCTCATTTTGCTATGCCCACATGTCTACGCATCTATCCTGTATAATAAACACAGCAGAAACATGCACACATCTACAAGATGGACAAAAGTGAGCAAGCGGACAATCACAAAAACCATCAAATCTTAACAAAATGCCTTCACAAGAAACTATCATCAAGTGGATATTGTAACAAACCTAAATTGTGGCACTGCTGGTCCGACAAATTCTATATGCAGCTGAATACTGGGAAATAGTGCTCTGAGTTCGCTAAAAACCCCAAGTTGCAGAAGCTCTTTCTCAGGCCCTTTAGAAATTGAAAAAGAATAGCAAAAGGTTAAAAAGTAAAAGAATGTGATGGCTGAACTTTCTGCATGCATACTATACTAACAAACTTAACTATGGGATCAAACACACATATGACCACTTGTGTTATTTATATAAAGCTAGATTTATATATATAGCTGAAAAAATAAATAATATAAATGTAAAAAAGAAATATGCTCTTGTAAGATTGATCCTCTTTCATAAAACACACACGCGCACACAGTCACCCACTTACACGCACACAAACAATTGTTTTACTTGTCTTGATGGATTGGAACAATAAATAAAAATCAAGGAAACCATAAGGATGTTGAATACTTCAATTAAATTTAATCCTTATAATCTAACTCCGCCATTACCTAAATGTCTTGGCATCTACGATATTTATCATGACACTAGCAGTTCCTTGTTATTTACTTATATAAGTTAAAAGTATGAAAGCAAATTAATTTTATTTTTACCTATTTGCAACAAACTTCAGAAACAGAACTATGACACACATATGTTTTAGTCATCTTGATTGGATTGAGACAGTAAATAATAATCAAGGAAACCTTTACGATATTTGATTAAATTTAATCATTCATAAATCAACTCCTCAATTAGCTAAACATCTTAGCACTTCCAATACTTATCAGTTATCACGATACTAGCAGTTTCTCGTTATTTACTTATAGTATGAAAGCAAATCAATTGCATATTCACCTATTTGTAACAAACTGCACAATCAGAACTATGACAACAGTAGGCTATCTTAACTACGGGATGGTTAGGTTTTCAGGTAAAAGTGTAAGAACAAACTAGATCCCCATGTTCCAGACTCTGCTAAAATTTGTTTAATCACAATGCAGGGTTTCAAGAACAAGCAAGTTTACCTAGATAATGTATGTTCAAAGTGTTTGAATCTCGCAGAATTAGATTCTGAAGGCCAGAAACTTGAAAGCAGCGATATATTGTAAGTGGCTGCAATTAAAAGAACATAATCAGACACGAGAATGAAAGAGCTGAGTGGAATTGCTTTTTCATTTAGAACTGGATTATCCCCTAAACTTAACAGGGAGCAAAGTAATATGAAGAGTCAGATTCACTTACAATGTGTTTATCTTTAAATATGTAATAAGAAAGGCCAGACTGAAGAGTACACAAAACAATTTAAAGCTTAGTGAATAAAGTTATTACCTCAAAATTCAAGCTCGAGACCGCAAAGAAGCGGGATCTATACTAAGATAGTTCGTGACTGGTGAAAGGAGCAATACTGATAAAATTCAGTAACGCATCAATTATGAGTGACTGGAGAGGTATTTCTCAACTTTATTTCACTTCTTGGGCTGAGTTATGATTGGAGGAACATGTCTACAGTATGTTAACCTTATTTAAATAGTTTTAGTAAACTTAGGAAGTAATGTTATCCGGTGGGAAAAACAAGGTTGCGGATAATGCGGTTGACATTTGCATAGCAAATAGCTCCAAAGTCCAGACATATGGGACATGTGAAATTACACATCTGAATACTTGGATATTGGATTATGATAGATCAATATGCTTATTATCATAAAAACATCTAGTAGTAAATGTAAGTATTACAGAAATATACTACACGTAAGCTTTGAAGACAGCTATAGACATTTAGCTCATTGGACTGCATTATTTCAAGGTATTATAAAAATTCACCCAATGATTTGTGGGAATGGCGGGAAACCCCCTGAGGTTTTAACAGTGAAAATTTAACTCCTGCATTTTGAATTTCTACCCAAATAATCATCAGTTTTGGATGGAACCATTATTAATCTAAAATACAATAATCATGCATGTGTGAGTATGTATAATTGTCATATTATATGATCATAGTTTTGGTTCCAAATTAATTTTGTAGAAATTGAAGTGAAGGGGGTCAAATTGTCATACAAACCTTAGGGGATTTTCTGTAATTTACCTTATTTTAATTTCTACAGTCTAACAAATAAACACTTTAAACCAGTAAATTACTGCACATGGGTATGCATTTTCTTGTTCTAATGTTGTTTTATCAAGATTTCTGGTCCTAACTCCTCAAGTCATCTTCTACATATACATCACATGTTAGTTTCAACAAGAAAAAGGTATACAAAATTATATGCAAGTAACCAGCTTCAAGAATAAATTCTACAATGTTATATGCAAGTAACCATCACAGCCAGTATATGACAGCTGTAATGCAAATTTCGGCTATGCAAACTAAATCCATGTCATATCGTAAAAATAGACGTAAGTAACAAATGACCTAGCTGGTGTTTAACTTTAATAATATCGGGAAAGGGCCTCTAGTCTACTTAATATTTCTGAATCCTAACCAGCGCTGATACAACAATTTTGATAATCTGATAGTTAAATTGCATAGGAAAAGAAAAAGTCATAAAGAATAGGAATCTTTACAGATAATCTAGCCTACTACATCCGCTAATATCTAGCATATTGTAAGATGTTAAATTTTCGTAAAATATTGTAGCAGGCTGCACATTCATCCTAAAATTGTCATGTAGCACTAAAGGAACCATCTCATGTGTCAAATTAGTAATATATCTTTTCCTACAGCCTCAAGCCAGGTTCAAATTTGATCCTCCGCTATTGCTAGCTAATCCCTCAACCCCACTCTCACTCATGCAAACTGCACATCACTGTGGAACATGTACAAATCACCTTGATGGAGGGAGGCTTAACTTATTATTGATGTATTTTTATCCGACTGTTAAGTATATCGCCACATATTCCATCTCAAAATTACTATTTTAGCTACTCAAGACAACGTTTCTTAATTGAAGCATTGGCCCAAAGAGGTCTTAGTTTGAAGCATTCACCCAAAAGGGTGGTCATGTACTCATCTCACTACATTTTTTTTTCTTTCAAAATTCACATGCATTCTGCAGTCAATGCTACCCAGAACTTCTCAACTTTGACCCATTTAGTTTTGGCTCTATGGAAAACATCCACCTTATATTTCATAGTCATGATGGATGATTGAGCGCAGGGGCACAGATACCTGTTAGAGGGTGGTATCAAGTGAGACCAGTTCTAGCAAAAAAATATAGTAATATTTACTAAGATTATCATCAAAGGGTGACACCATTATAAGAGTTACGACCCATTTAAGAAATGTTGTATATCCAAATACATATTTAAGAAATGTTGTGTATCCAATTACGACAGATTCTAGGGAGAGATTGTTTTCGGCAATGAAGATCGCAAAGAATCGTTTCTGAAATCAAATGGGAGATCAGTGGATGAACAATAGCTTAGTAACTCTTTTTAAAAGGATGTATTTAGTAGTATTTCAAACGAGATTGTGATGCAAGAATCTCAAAACATGAAGACACGCGGGGCCGTGGGGGCCAATTGCAGTTGTACTTAGTTAAGTATATAAAAAAATTAGTAAAATCGTCTTTATATATATAGAGAGAGAAATATGGAGAACCATGGTACCAAGTTTCTTCATTGAACTTGGTAGTGATGTGGCTAGATCTGGCCCCTACATCACGCCTCGAAGATAGAGCCTCAATCACTATCCACCTACTCCAAAAAAGGTGGCTACCCATCTTCGCAGCACGTGATGAAAGGGGGCAAGATTTGGCCACCTCATACGCAGTTCAATGAAGAACTTGGTACCAAGATTCTCATCATATTTCTTATATATATATATTATATATCTATAATATATTACTATATATATAATATATTATATATAATTATATTATATATATATATATAATATATATATATATAATATATATATATAATGATAACCTGTTGAAATTGAATTGTCCTGGTCCGCCACTGTTGCAGCGTAGGTGCTATAAATATTCAGAATTTATGTACTTCTTGGCCACCAAGGTGAATTGTACCTTGATTTTTGTTTTGCTGGTTTCTTGTACAATTAATCTAATTTGGTTTTATCCTGCTCATACCTTTTGAGATTCTAAAAGCTTTACTGATATCATGGGACATCATCATGCGTAAGCCTAAAAAAGTCCACTCAACCAATTCAATGGCTCATCAATGTAAAATAAATAAATAATGAAATGTGGAAAATCCGCAAGTAAAATCAGTACGCAATATTTCTCTAAAATCTTAGAATTATAACATACCCAATGAAGTAACAAAGCAGCAGGTGAATGGAATGGAAGGCATCTCCATTGATAATAATCCTTCCAACTACTCATATGGGTTGGTGCTGGACTTCTTGGCTCTGTTGGAATAAATCCAAGTAGATAAATAAGCTGATCAACTATGGCAACAAAAGGTGTCCTAGAAGCATCAAACTTACCGGAACATGGGCATAATGAACTTGGAAGACACCAACTGTCATTTATCCTACCAAAAGAAAATTCGTAGGGCAATGAAAATTTGGATATTCTATACACGATGGAAATATACGCGTACATGCAAATAAATAGCAAATTTAATCAACCTAGAAAATTTCAGTGGTAGAAGAATTATAATAATTACAAACATAAAAACCCAAAAATCACAAAGATCATATTTTATACAAAATAATAGTAGCTGGTGCAGATATTCCAGGCCTACATATGGTTATAGCTCTGCCTCTCCTTCTATTTTTGGTCATTACGTTGTAAATAGTACTTTTTCCTGCTCAAGAGAACTATGAAGTTGAAAGTTGGTTTCCCTACTCAATGTAGAAGTTCACTAGTCAATGTAGAAGCAGTTTGCTGACCAAAATATTATGAGAAAATACCGTGCGGTCAAGGGGAAGACTGAAAGAGATACTAAAGATCAGTGACTAATGACCCATGTTTGGTTAAATCATATGTCCTTTCCACTTTTCTTCAATGGCACCTTAGTTCCCTATAACCACTTCCAGTATGTACTGCTCGTCCCTGTGGCTCTTGCTCATCTAGCTCGCATACTCATGGGGTTGACCTCAACAGACACATGCAAACAACTTTTTTTAATTCTGATCATTCATAGAATGAAGATGCTAGAATGGAAGAATCCACTGCTTGAGAACCTGTTGTTGGAATAAGCACTATGGGGCCTTCTGAAAATAAAAATAAAAATCTAAACACCAAAAATTCCGGGTCTAGTTCCCAATTACTGATGAAATCTCTTAACCATCCTGACTCATCAGAAAAGTAACATGTAGATGATGCACTCAATCACACTAATAGAGATGAACATATTAACCAGCATCCTTGCCAAGTAATCTAAAAGATGAAACAAGATCGTGACATCATTCCAACAAAAGAAAAGAAAAAAAAGAGGAGCTGTTGTGCAAGCTATCCCAAATAAATAAATAAATCCTTTTATCTTCTCCCTTTACTTCCCTTATGGGCTATGGCAATCTTTAAGAGAAGAAAGAACAGAAGGAAGAATATATATGAAATAATATTTTAATTTATTTAATTATTAATAGTCCGCATTCTAAATATTGTTTCTGCAAAGTAGTTTGCATACAAGTGTTCATAATAAAGCACGCCATGCACCTTAAATACTACACAAGGCCTAGGATTTTAGTGCACGTCTATTGGAGTTGTGGTGAGTAGCATACAAACTCTCATTGCCCGACTTACCAATATTGATTTCAACAGGTAAACTGGAGTCAGAACAATAGCAGACCTTGAAAGTAAATCTCCATCTTGGCTTGAACTTTATAAGATGTAAAAAAATGATAGTCCTACATGTCAACCGTTACTAAAGGAACAGTCATGATTTCATATCGAAGGGTGTTAAAACTGTTAATGCAAAACCAGCAAAAGAAAACACCTACTACCAAATTAATTACAGCTGACTGACTTAACAAACAAGAGAATAACTGGTATGTTTTCAACCTATTATTAATTTATTATCCTAAAGAACAGATGCAGGATAGTGAACTCAAAAAGTATATATCCAGTAGAGGACAGAATCATGACGGTAAGGATTCAGAACTAGATAAACGTGTTAGCAAAGGCCAGCGCTAAGCAGTAAAAATAAATAAGCAAATAGAAGGTTGTTCTCTAGAATCACATAGAAGTCATGAGAAGAAACCATGAACTTTTGGATGAGGCAACTGCCAAACTACAACTGCATTCAGATTTCCATAATTCAACACGGTGAAGGCCTGCAGATGTCAAAATAGAACATCTTGTCTCTTCCTTTCCAGACCCCTGTTAGAACTCCAAATGGATGTTATCGTCGAAATAAAAGAACATTACTGCATATAAAGTAATCCTGAACCAAGAGAGATAGAAATAACAAAGAATGATGTAAAAAAATTAATATTAAAATACCACAGAAGCAAGTATCTCCCACTTGTACAAGTGAATTGTCGATGCAATGAGATTATAAAGCAACCAATCGAGAATTATTACCAAAATAATCACGAGGTAGCTGAAATTAGTGTTAACTACAATTTTCTTAGTTGTTATAGATGCATCAACTGCATAATAAACATCGATACTAAATGTCAATAGAATGTTGCAATAAGTACTTCCTCACATGATCATCTAATTGAAGGTATTTAATAGTCCAAGATAGTATGAGGAATATGTATTAGTTCAAGACTAAATTGACACTTTTTATGGGAAGGAAAATAAAACTAAAAGAACTCCATCTATGCCATTTCTCAACGTGGAGGTAGAGAGTTACTCATTCTGAAAGAACAGAAAATAGCTTATTCTTGCGAGACAGCCAATGAAACAAGGAGATGCTATTGAACCTACAATCCTGAACTCTGAGCAATCTAACACAGTTATGCACTTTACTACATCTCGAACTTGAACTAGTAAAACCCTTGAGCGGAAAGCCTTAAAGTACAATTGAGTTATCTAATCAAGCATTATCAACGATTAGGCTTTGAAATCTATATGTTATGTTCCTGGTTGTTTCAAGAAATTCTGGGTTAATCAACAAGTGTTCTACTTAGACAATGCATTATCAGTCTATTCTTCTTGTGGTCATACTCAAAGATGTCTTTTATTTGGATGTCTTTCTTCTCTGAACACTGAATATCTAAGAATCCCCAACCACTATTTACTTTTGGTAGGGAACAGTACTTTAAAAGCAGGTGACAATATGAGTGGCTAGCATGGCTGTGTGCTTAAGTGATCAGTGGTCGTCTGCGAACTCTGCTTATACATTTTAATTGTCCAACTGAATCTAAAAGTTTATAAGGATGAGAAATAGGACCTTGATTTGGACTATTATCACCCATGAATTTTCATGATATCTGCTGTCCTCCTTTAACAGATGTGAGTAATAACAGATATTCGACATAACATGTAAAAAAATTTTGACATAAACCTACGTGATTGCTAATTCACCAAATAAAACTCATTTTCATATCGAAATAAGTCTCCAAAGCATGGCTTTCAACTCTGTTAAATTTTCATAAACCTACGTGATGGCTAATTCACCAAATAAAACTCATTTTCATAAACCTATGTGTTTAAGAAAACATAAGGTGAGGGCATTTTGGTCATTGAGTGATCAATTTGCAGAACCTGTAGATTTTTTAAGGCATTTATGAGCAATTTCATATATTTGAGGGACCAATATGAAATTAATTTGAGGGACTAATATCAACGAAAGCCCCTCACCAAAAATAATAACCTAAAACTCAAAAGGTAAGCTAGTTACCAAAAATGTAAAGGGAAAATCACTCAAACCATCAGCATGCTTCATTTGTTGTGCAAGCCTCGAGCATTCGTCTTTATGATCACTCCAATGCAACATCTAAAAACAACAAATAACAAAATAAAAATAAAAATAAAATTTGGTAAATCTGCAAAATAAATTGTTGGCCAAGGTTTTTGAGCAAACAAACACCTGATGGGATTTGGAACAGTAAGCAACGGCACCGCAGAGACCGCAGCGCCTCTTCGGTGGGCCTCGCAGGCAGGAGGTTCCCCTTCCTTTAGCTGCGCACTCCATTGGTAGGAGGCCAATGATTGTGGGTTGAGGTTTGGTCTCGGCCTCTTTTAGGAAGAAAATGAAAACGGGTTGCAATGCGTGTTCAGTTAGATATAACCCGACCCGACCCGTAAATTACAAGTCACTGTCCCTAATTATAAAACGAGATAAACTAATAATAAGCACCAAGGCAGCTACTGCTACTGCTCATTCTTTCTCCCTCCTCTCCTCCTCGCGAGCTCTCACTGCGATCGAGATCTAAACCATCGAGATCAAAGATTTAGGGTTAGATTTTATCTCAATTTCCCTATTCGTTCTTCCCTTTTAGTTTTCTTGGAGATTCTTGGATTTTTTTATTTGTTTTGTGCTTTTTTGTTGTAGTGATCAGGAGTAGATCCATCAAGATTTCATCGACAGAATTCTTCAGATTCGTTCTAGGGTTATAGATCTCCATCTCAATTTTTTATCATTTCAGCTAAATATAATTTGATAATTTACTTTAAATTTCATATGTTTGTTCTCTATTTTTAATTTTCGAGATTAATTGATTAATTTAGATTCTTTCTAGGGTTCTAGATGTTCACCTCAATTTTTGATCATTTCCGATAAATCTAATTTGAGAATTTAGTTGAAAATTTAGTTGTAAATTTTTGTCCACTTCATGATTTTGTCCTCTTTCTTCTCTTAAAGATTGCCATAGCCCATAAGAGAAGTAAAGGGAGAAGATAAAAGGATTTATTTATTTATTTGGGATAGCTTGCACAACAACTCCTCTTTTTTTTCTTTTTTTTAGTTGGGATGATGACACGATCTTGTTTCATCTTAGATTACTTGGCAAGGATGCTAGTTAATATGTTCATCTCTATTAGTGTGATTGAGTGCATCATCTATGTTAAAGTTTTCTGATGAGTCAGGACGATTAGGAGATTTCATCAGTAATTGGGAACTAGACCCGAAATTTTTGGTGTTTTTATTTTTATTTTTATTTTCAGAAGTCCTCGTAGTGGTTATTCCAACAACAGGTTCTCAAGCAGTGGATTCTTCCATTCTAACATTTCATTCTATGAATGATCAGAATTAAAAAAAGTTGTTTGCGTGTCTATTGAGGTCAACCCCATGAGTATGCAAGCTAGATGAGCAAGAGGCACAGGGACGACCAGTACATACTGGAAGTTGTTATAGGGAATTAAGGTGTCTCAACTCATTAAGCTTCTCGTAATCTTCTCACTCTCTCTTTAAGTCCACATAACACGGTCCAGAATGCACATTCCCTAGCTGCTGGTAAATTTCTTTTGACCAATATATCAAAATCATCAGCAACTATTATCATACTTATCCTTAGATATTCTAACAGGCTTTTTAATCTGAGCAATTAGAATAGTTGCAGAATCCAGTACACCCTCTACATCAGAAGCATCTACATTTTTTTAAAAAGTTCCTAAGGAATAAAAGTCATGGTGAATGATTTCTGTGATCTTATAAAGACGGTCAATGCAACACAGACGTTTCTCTGAAACAGATGCAGCCTCTTCAGGCTCTTCAGCACTTTCAACTTGATCAACCTCTGCAAAAATCCCATCTACTTCCTCTGTACACTCAACTTCATCTGAGACGGACTCCCAAAAAAGTTTAAATGAAACAAGAATAGCTGCTTCTTCATTCCCCTCATCTTCTTCCTCAGTGCTCTCAACTTCATCTAAAATAGACTCCCAGAAGAGCCTAAATGCAGCAAGTACAAGTTCTTCAGAAATTCCCTTGCTTGAATGAAGTAAATGCATTAAACAAACTATTTTAAAAGCCCTGCAATAACCTCATCAACCCATAAATCTAAATTGATCAATTAATCTCGAGAATTGAAAACGAAAAACATAGATATAAATTTTCATCTAAATTCTCAAATTATATTTAGCTGAAATGATCAAAAATTGAGATGGACATCTAGAACCTTAGAAAGAATCTAAATTAATCAATTAATCTCGAGAATTAAAAATAGAGAACAAACCTATACATTTTCAACTAAATTCTCAAATTATATTTAGCTAAAATGATAAAAAATTGAGATGGAGATCTGTAACCCTAGAACGAACCTAAAGAATTCTGTCGATCCTTTGAAATCTTGATCGATCTACTCCTGGTCACTACAACAAAAGAACACAAAACAAATCAAAAATCCAAGAATCTCCAGAAAAACTAACAGCGAAGAACGAATAGGAAAATTGAGATAAAATCTAACCCTAAATCTTTAATCTCGATGGTTCAAATCTCGAACATAGTGAGAGCTTGCGAGGAGGAGAGGAGGGAGAAAGAGTGAGCAGCAACAGTAGCTGCCTTGACGCTCAATTTTAGTTGGTCTCGTTTTATAATTAGGGATAGGGACTTGTAATTTACGAGTCGGGTCGGGTTATACCTAACTAGAAACGGTAGATGAAACCTTGTAGCAGCAATCCTCCTCAAAGCAACGCATATAGTTGCAAACATAAGCTAAGGGCATTTTGGTTATTGAGGGATCAATTTGCAGAACCTGTAGATTCTTTTAAGGTACTTATGAGCAATTTCATATATTTGAGGGACCGATATGAAAATAATTTGAGGGACTAATATCTAACGAAAGCCCCTCACAAAAAATAATAACCTAAAAATCAAAAGGTAAGCTAGTTACAAAAAATGTAAAGGGAAAATCACTCAAACTTTCAGCATGCTTCATTCGACCATTCGTCTTTATGATCACCCCAATACAACATCTAAAAACAACAAATAATAAAAAATTAAAATTAAAAATAAAATTTGGTAAATCTGCGGAATAAATTGTTGGCCTAGGTTTTTGAGCAAACAAACACCTGATGGGTTTTGGAACAGTAAGCGACAACACCGCAGAGACCGCAACGCCTCTTCGGTGGGCCTCGCAGGCAGGAGGTTCCTCTTCCTTTAGCTGCGCACTCCATTGGTAATAATTGTGGGTTGAGGGTTTGGTCTCGACCTCTTTTAGGAAGAAAATGAAAACAGGTTGCAATGCGGGTTCAATTAGGTATAACCCAACCCGACCCGACCCGTAAATTACAAGTCTCCGTCCTTAATTATAAAACGAGACCAACTAAATTTGAGCGCCAAGACAGCTACTACTGCTGCTCACTCTTTCTCCCTCCTCTCCTCCTCACGAGCTCTCACTGCGATCGAGATCTGAACCATCGAGATTAAAAATTTAGGGTTAGATTTTATCTCAATATCACTATTCATTCTTCACTGTTAGTTTTCTTGGAGATTCTTAGATTTTTGATTTGTTTTGTGTTCTTTTGTTGTAGTGATCGAGAGTAGATCGATCAAGATTTCAAAGAATCGACAGAATTCTTCCGGTTCGTTCTAGGGTTACGGATCTCCATCTCAATTTTTTTATCATTTCAGCTAAATATAATTTGAGAATTTAGTTGAAAATTCATATGTTTGTTCTCTGCTTTTAATTCTCGAGATTAATTGATTAATTTAGATTCTTTCAAGGGTTCTAGTTGTTCATCTCAATTTTTGATCATTTCAGCTAAATATAATTTGAGAATTTAGTTGAAAATTTATATCTATGTTTTTCGTTTTCAATTCTCGAGATTAGTTGATTAATTTAGATTTAAGGGTTGATGAGGTTACTGCAGGGCTTTTTAAAATGATTTGTTTGATGCATTTACTTCCTTCAAGTGAGGAAATTTCTGAAGAAGTTGTACTTGCTGCATTCAGACTCTTCTGGGAGTCTGTTTTAGATGAAGTTGAGAGCACTGAGGAAGAAGATGAGGGGAATGAAGAAGCAATTGTTCTTGTTTTATTTAAACTTTTTTGGGAGTCTATCCCAGATGAAGTTGAGTGTACAGAGGAAGTAGATGGGATTCCTGTAGAGGTTGATCAAGTTGAAAGTGTTGAAGAGCCTGAAGAGGTTGCATCTGTTTCAGAAGAACGTCTGCGTTGCATTGACCGTCTTTATAAGATCACATAAATCATTCACCGTGACTTTTATTCCTTGGAAACTTTTTTGAAAAATGTAGATGCTTCTGATGTAGAGGGTGTACTGGATTTTGTAACTATTCTGATTGCTCAGATTAAAAAGCCTGTCAGAATATCTAAGGATAAGTATGATAATAGTTGCTGATGATTTTGATATATTGGTGAAAAAAAATTTACCAGAAGCTGGCGACCGTGCTTTCTGCACCGTGTTATGTGGACTTAAGAGAGAGTGAGAGAAGATTATGAGAAGCTTAATGAGTTGAGACAACAATCTATATTGAAGTTTCAAGATTGGGGTCGGGGAGACATCAAATCGGTGGTGGCATACTTGGTCTCAGCTATGGACAGATTGGAGGAGCAAATTTGGACATAATTGGATCTTCATTTTTAAGGGAGAGTCATGCTCACATGTCCTCGAACAACATTCTGGAGACTATGAAGCTTGGGGAAGAGGTGGACCATCAGGGAGCAATAGATGAAGAAGTGTAGGGTTCATGAAATTCACTGCAGAAACTCTCTGAAGAGTAATTCACTGCAGAAACTCTTTGAAGAGTATTGATACTTACGTCTCCATGGAATTGCATGCGTTAACAGTACTTACAATTGGACGGAGCCTTAGACAGTTCCTTAGTTCTCAGGTTTGTTTGAAGGAGTTTACTTAGTTCATTTCATTGTAATTGCTAATCCGACAGTTTGTGTTCTGTTGATAGCCTTTGTCTTTCTTTGTGATCCATATACCATAAAAATAGTAGAATAAATTTGTTTGATGCTCTCAACAAAACATATTTGATGGCATTTATTGGCTTTGCTAAGTGCTCGTTCAAAACCTCACATTAGCTTAAGCTTTTAAGTTTCAGCTGGTATGTAGTTGTTACGGATGGACTACTTTCTTTAGTCAAGCATTATGCTAAATAACTTAAGGGTGAAACTTCTCAGAACCTAAAAGGAATTCAAAATCAATTTGGAAAAGAGAGGCTAAAATTTATGTCATTTATAGATTTAGTATGAGAAATTTAAGAGAAAAATTAGATACACTCTCTCGTTAAGTCGAAAGATTAGTTTTTTTCTTTTTTTTCCATGATAAATGTGTGATGCAGTTTATTTTTCTGTCAAATCTTCAATAATGAGCAGGACAATATGGATTTTTGGTGCACTGGAAGTGTTAGGGTTTTGCTAAATGAGATAGTATTGTTTTGGCAGTGGGCATTAGTTTCATTATGCACAAAATTCTGGCAGCCTGATTTGCGTAGCAGATAAAAATACATTGGTTCCGCAAATAACAATATATGGATAGTTTTGATTCCTTACATCTCCTGTTCTACCAATTTGTGCTAGATAACTTACTATTTGTAGGTTAATCGATCAATGATATATATAATGGTTGATTTGATTCAAGTTGATTTGAACCACACCAATAAGTATCTAACTTCTTCGCGAGTTGTTTTACTCTTCATCTATTAAATCCTCTCAGCAACTTCACTTAAATTTGAAAGTTAAGCATAACTATTAGAAATTTTTCTATTGAGTCAATTCTAACGATAACTATTTCTTCTAACAATACCTAGTCTACAGTGAGTTTAACAAAATGAATGGAATTTTCTTGGGCCTAGCTCTCAAACGAATAAATCCATGTTAATCAACTTATGGATTTCCTATAAACCTATCCTTGCTTTAGGAAATAGAGATATTAATAATTTTGGTTGTGTCTAAATCTCAAGTGTTTTTTATTTTCTAGGATTCTCATTTTATGTTAGGAGTCAGCATGTTTTGCTATACGCCATGGAGTCTTACTAGAATTTAATATTACTACTCGATACTGAATGTTTTTAGCTGTGAAAAAAATCAAAATGTCAGTAAAATATAACTAAACCTACTCAATTTCCATCGTATATATGACAGATCAATAAATTCTTAGCTGTGATACCCGACACGGCCAATTTGGTTCCGTACCCGTGTCGGGTACGTTTTGGGTGCGGATCCGCACCCAAACGGCAGGGACACGGCGATTGAAGGCGTGAGGGGAAAAAAGTACCCGAGCTTCGAGGGAGGAGTAAACGACGATCTTCGAGGGACAGCGAGCTTCGAGGGAGGAGTCGACAACGAGCTTCGAGGAGGAGTCGACGACGAGATTCGAGGGACGACGAGCTTCGAGGGAGGAGTGGACGACGAGCTTCGAGGGAGAACAGTGAAAACCCTAGCCCTAGAGTCGGATCTGAAGGAGGAGGCTGATAGAAGCGAAGGAGGAAAGTGAAAACCCGAACCCACTCTTACCTATTTATTTTGGGTAGCATTTGTAAATAAAAATTATATTAGTTCTAAATTGTTTATATAGGTAATTATATTAGTTCTAAATTGTTAATTAAAATAAAATTAGCTTACATTTGTATAGGTAATTATATTTGTAACTTTAAACAATATACTTATAATATTTTGAGGGATGCTTATAATATTTTGGGGTATAGCTCTATCTTGTGAAGATATGCTTGTAATTTTTAACTCACGTTTTGCGAGGTAGGCTTGTATTTTTATATGCTCAAGATGAAAGTAATGAAAATTAGAATTTGGTATTATTTTCAAATCAGTTACATAACTTACGTTTGTCATTGATTATACAAGGCAAGGTTACATAATAATATAACATAAAAATTGATCTATTTTTCTATATGTTCATCTTCTCTTTCTTGTCTTCTTTAACACTATTATCTTTAATTCTTCAAGAGATCATTGACATCCCAACGTCTTAATTCACACCTGCAACATGCACTTTCCTTTAGTTTTTTTTATTTATTTTTTTTTTAAATAAAACAAGGGATACCCCCTGCTCATTATAATAAAAGGAGATAAGAGTATAGTTACATTTAGTTTCTTATTTATAATATCCACTTTACATAACAAAAAAAATGTGAACGGACCTGAGAAGGCCCAGGCCCACGAAGTTGATTTTTGAGCCGCGTTTTCAACACGGCTCGCGGTTGCTTTCGCTGCCTATATAAATGATATTTTATTAGGGTTTTGCAGCAGGCAGAGGGGAGAAATTGGTTTTTGTGCACGGGAATATTCTTGGTGGCTGCAGGGTGCGGAAGCGAGCAAAGTGGGGTTTTGCTACAGATTGTTTTTTTCTTCGGCGTGAAAAGCAAAACTGTAGAGGAGAGTCGCCAGTTTCAGAGAATTTGTGCATCCTTTTGAGAGAGAGATTGTGAGGGTTCTATTTGTGAGATCTTGTGTATGTAAACCCTATTCGTATTCTCTCTAATAGTAGATCCCCCCTCCTTACCCCGTGAACGTAGGCTATTTGCCGAACCACGTAAAATTGGTTGTCTTGCTATTTGTGTGATTTGTAATAGCTTTTAGGTTCTCTCGACAGGTCAGTCCTAGAACTGATAAGAGGAAGAGTTGATATCTCACTTGGTTGAGATATTTTGCTTAAGGTTCTTGTTCTTTTGTGAAACAGGGTTTCCTATTGCGACCTGACTCTCTTGTTGTGCACCGAAGTGCTGCCGAAATTTTCGCTGCGCGCAACAAGTGGTATCAGAGCCCAGATTTCAGATCAAGGATTTTGGAGTTTGGTGGAGGAAGATTCTTGTGTGAAGCTTGGTTCTTGGAGTTCTGGGCTTCGGTGGAGATAGCATTAGGAGTTGTCGTTGGAGATTTTGCTTTCCTCGTATGGATAGGAGATCTATTTGGAATCCGATCTAGGGTTCAGTTGGGTGGTTCCTAATTTCTATCAAATTTATTTTTTCTCTATAATTTGGAGTTAGTTCGCAATAGGAGAAGAAGGTGAAAGCAGCAAGTCGATTGCGAGTACAATACAAGTTGGTTTTCAGAACACTAAGATTAGTATGGTGAAGTATGACAACAAAATCAACTTTGGTTTGTGGATGAGCGACGTACAGGATGCGCTCAATGCTCAGAATTTGGAAGAGACCGTCATGGTCCACGAGAGGCCGCCTAAATATGATGAGACGATATGGGAGAAGATGAATAGAAAGGCGTGTGGGGTGATCAGATCCTGTTTGGAACAGGAACTGAAATATAATGTGATTAGGATGACGTCGACAATGAAGATGTGGGAAATTCTCAACAATAAGTATCTCACAAAGAGTGTTGAGAACAGGTTGCACTTGTTGCGAAGACTCTTCAGATTTCAGATGTCCAGAGGCACCTCACTAGCGGCGCATGTGAACAACTATACTAAGTTATTGTCGGACTTGGCAAATGTTGATGAGAAGATTTCGGATGAGTACAAGGCTATTATCTTATTGGGCTCCTTACCGGATGAGGAGTATGACACATTTGTGCTCACTTTGTTGAATGGGAGATATTATATCAACTATAGTGAAGTAACTAACGCTTTAACAAACTACGACTTGAGGAGGAAGGACAATGATACTTTCCGCGCTAGTACTTCAGGAGAGACCTTGTCGACGAGAGGTAGAAGCCCATATCCGTAAGGTGGTAATAGAGGAAGGTCAAAGTCTAGAGGTCGTCACCAGTTAGTAAAGAACCAATGTGCATTCTGTAAGGAGCAGGGATATTGGAAGAGAGACTGCCCGAAGCTCAAGGAGAAGGAGAATAACAAGAAAAAGGGCCCGAAGGCCAATGAGGTGAACGTTGCGAAAGACGATGATTCCGATGATTCGAGCTTTTCTCTATTGATTACTCCGGAGGTGAATCACTTGGATGCATCAGATTGGATACTTGATTCCGGTGCTACCTATCATGTGATCCCTAGGCGAGATTGGTTTGCATCTTTTGAGAAGCTCGATGGGGGAGTTGTAGTCATGAGAAATGATCAATCCTGTGGTATTTGTGGGATAGGTACTGTGCGGATTAGGATGCACGATGGAGTAGTCCGTGAATTGAAGGAGGTGAGATTCGTTCCTCAGCTGAAGAAAAATCTTATCTCGGTTGGAACTTTGGAGGCAAAGGGATTCAAGGTGACCTTTGAAGACGTTGTAGCAAAGGTTACTAAGGGATCCTTGGTGGTGATGAAAGGAGACCGCAGTCGGAACTTATACTATTTGAAGGGGAGCACCGAGATTGGCCAGGCTGTTTTTGCTATTTCAGAGGCGGACATGAGTAGGCTTTGACATTATAGGTTGGGGCACACAGGAGAGAAGTCACTTCAAGTTTTGTGCAAGCAGGGGCTTGTAGGTGTGAATTTTGATCTCCCGAAATAAGGATTTCGTTTGTATTTATAAGAATAGCTTATTACAAACTAATAAATCAAAGTTATAACAGAAGCAGAGGGAAGGCCCTCCTTATTTAACATGGGGACTTTGGTAGTTATAGGACGCCTCGCTCGGTTCTCGCACCGAGTCTGCTTCCCTTGGACGATCTGATCGAAGTTACGGGCAAGCTTCAGTACGCAGTAGAAGCTTGTGTTGATCGAGTTTGACTATACCCGAGGTCAAACAAGGGCTTGTTCTTGTCAGCTAACTGTTTGGAGAGAGCTACCACACAAGAGCTTCTAAAGAGCCTAAGAGCCTTAAGTCTGAGAGTTCAGACGAGTCTCTTCCAATGAGGGAACCTTTAGCAAATGAGCCAAGGTTCAACCTTTGGAAGATTAGCCAGCCAAGCATGCAGCAGCTAATCCCCCCTTTCACATTGGCTAAAAGTGGTTTTAAATAGGCAATGGATGGCATAGATCATCCCTTGATTTGTGGGATTTGACCACTAGTAGGGGTGAGGGAGCCAGCCGCCCTAGCTGTGGGATGTGACCACTTAGGGGGTCCTGTCAGCCGCCCTATTCTTGCTAGGTGAGGAGCGCCATACTTTCTCCCTTGATTCATGGGATTTGACCACT